TGGTATGTTTAATGTTTTTGTTATCTGTGACAGATAAAACAGGTTATTACAAAGGGCTTTAAAGGAAATTTTGATCATCATCAAAAAGGGGGAGATTGTTAAACATCCAAGGATATGAAGCTTGCAGATTTTGAAGATAATTCAAGAACAAAGGACTTAGAGATTTGAAGACCCGTAATCTTATGTATTAACTCTGTTTTTTATGTTTTTGAGTCTGTAATATTAGAGTCCAAGATAGCCAGTACATAGACCATCCTTTAAAACCTCTAAAAACTCATTTTTATCAAAATTACATGTAGACCCCAAATCTTGCCCCGCCTCAAAATAAGAGCAGAAGACCTCCTATTCGAAGATGGACAGAGCCTAAAAAGCCACTAGGAGAGACTATTAGGCCCCATATTAGCGTAGGAAGGATTTTCTGTACAAAAATAAGGATTTTCGAGACCACCGTCTTGCTTTTCGGGACCGCCGTCTCGTTTGGGGAGACGGCAGTCTCGCCATTTGCCAATGGCGAGACCCCCCTCCCATTTGACGAGAAGGCCTTCTCGTCACTTGGCAAGTCGAGACCACCGTCTCGCCAAACGAGACCGTCATCTTGCCATTGATGCAAGTCAAGACCGCCGTCTCGACCTTGCCAGTCGAGACTGCCGTCTCGACCTGATAGGCGCGAATCCCTATAAATAGTGAGCGCTCCCCCCTTCATTTCAGACAGTTCTTCCACTTTCCCTTCTACACTTTCTCCAAATTCTTCTCCTAGAGTCCCTCCGAAGCATTTCCGGAGTTTCTGAGTATCTAAGAGAGCTTTTTATAGCATTTTTTTAGAGCGATTTCGGTGTTGTAGAAGCGAAGGGCTGCCAAAACGCACCCTATTTTTCAAGAGAATTAATCAAAAGTTTGCTCCGGAGGTTTCTTCACTCTCTCCCTCTCTTTTACTGTCCTTTTATTTATATTAAATTGTGCAATAGTTATTAGGGCCATGTAGTCATTATTTTAATTCCATGAATAAAAGGGTAAAAGCATATTTTCAAGAGTTTATTTATAAAATAACTGACCTATCATAGGGAACCCGAAAGGGGCGTCGTAAGGGAATTAATACCTCTCTTACACGTAACTAACTCCCTTACCCAACACTGTTTTTAACGACCAAAGTTGGTTTTTGAAAACCCAACGCCTTTTCTCTCCTTTTTCGATGTTTCTGGTAAAAACATTGATGGCGACTCCATCAGAACCCTTTTAAATTTGTTCTTAGGTCAGCCCGGTTATTGGACGATCTAAGAACGCCCTTTCGAAAACCTAGCCCTTCGGTTCAGCCCGGTTATAAGACAACCTAAAGGCATTGTAACCTCACCCATAAAAACGCGAAAAATGGAAAAGTTGAAACCATCGCGTCGCTCTAACCGCCTCTTTTTTACAGCGGTGACATTACACTATGATAATCAATTATCACCCTGGATAATCGATTATTACAACAAGAAAATCATTTTCACCAAAAGCTCACTGTGATAATCGATTATCGCTCAGGATAATCGATTATCACAGGTAAATAATCGATTATTTGGCCAGATAATCGATTATCCTAGTCCAGTTTTGTTCCCCTGTGAAAATGGTTCTGAAATAAAAGATTATCACTCAAGATAATTGATTATTTGCGTCTGTTATGTGTTTTGAAATTCAAATTTGGACCAATTTATGAAAACCCCATTCCCAATTCTTTTGTTTTCAAAAATCCCCAATTCCCAGACCCTATTCTCTCTACTTAAGGTTCTCTAAGGCTCTCTGCAAATTAACAAACCTTTTTCATACAAAAGTTAAGAGTTGTGACTGCTAGAGAACTTTTTGTAGGGAAGAAAAAGGGGCTTTTGAAACCTAGTGTGGGCTAGAAGCGATAAGAATCACTGAGTGGGTTTCTTGGTGGATTGTGTGTTGTGCCGTCTCTTGGAAAAATTGTTCTTCATCCTTTGTGAATTCAAAGGAGGTGTTCATCTCTTGTGTGACTCAAGAGAGGTGTTTTCTATTCCTTATCTTTTCAATTTGTAATCTGTTTGTAAATCGTGATTATAGTGACAATGTTAATCCTCTTTTTTAGTGATTAGCAACTGGACGTAGGGTCTTTTGATCCGAACCAGTATAAATAAACTGTGTAATCATCTTTCCCTTATCTATTTACTTTACACAACATTTTAATCGGTGAAATTTGGGAAAAATTTTAAAACCCTAATTTTTGTTTAAGAAACCAATTCACCCCCCCTCTTGGTTTTTGTCCGTAAACGCAAACATTCCACTACGCGATTCTAACATAGAGGTATGATAGGTTCACTATTATATTTAACTGCAAGTAGACCTGATATCATGCAATCTGTATGTGTGTGTGCTAGATTTCAAGCTTGTCCAAAAGAATCTCATCTAACTACAGTAAAAAGAATATTAAAATATTTAATAGGAACTACAAGATTTTGTTTATGGTACCCATCTGAAGCTTTTCCTAGTTTATTAGGTTATTCTGATGCTGATTATGGAGGTTGTAAAGTAGATAGAAAAAGCACTAGTGGTACTTGTGATTTATTAGGATCATCCTTAGTTTCATGGAATTCTAAGAAACAAGCCTGTGTTGCTTTATCCACATCTGAGGCTGAATATATTGCAGCTGGAAATTGTTGTGCTCAAATTTTATGGATGAAGCAACAACTAGAAGATTATAATATTTTTCTAAGTGACATTCCTTTAATGTCTGATAATACAAGTGCAATTAAGCTCACAAAGAATCTTGTTATGCATTCTAAAACCAAACACATTGAGATTAGGCATCACTTTCTAAGAGATCACATTTCGAAAGGAAATTGTAAAATTGAGTATATAGACACAAAGATCAATTAGCAGACAATTTACCAAATCTCTTCCCAAGGAGAGATTTTATGAACTTAGAAGAGACTTAGGAATATTAGAAATAGTCTAAACTCTGCTTAACTGTAATATATTTGCATTTTGTAGTGGAATAATTGAATATTTTGAGTAATAATCGATTATTGAAGCTTAAATGAGTGGTTAATGAAAAATCTTTCTGTAATAATAGATTATTTGGGGTAATAATCGATTATTTGTACTTCATTGACCCAAATCAGTAATTTCTATCTGGAATAATCGATTATCTTCAATGATAATCGATTATCCATGCATTTCCTGGAAAGGGATGAATAAATAATCGATTATCACAAGTGATAATCAATTATTTGGCGACGTTGGAGATAATCTAGCCGTTTGTAACGAATCTTTTTGCTTTAATTCTTGTCAAACTAGTCGTTTATGGTCGTTGGGATCATTTCCTATATATAGGAGGGCTCAAAATCAAATCCAAACATTTCCAAACTTCTCTTCAAGAGTTTTGCATAGATTCTAAAGGTTATTCTTATGTTGTTGTCTCCCTCAAAGCTTTGTTTCTCTCCAAAATTCCTTTTCTTTCACTTTTCTCTCATTTCATTCTAAATGGCTTCATCTTCCCGAAGAAAGATTTCGACAAGGAGAAGATCTACTCCTGCATCTCATCCCCGCCCTAATTCTCTTAAAGGGTGGATCTCAGATGATGACGGAAGACAGGAATATCTGAATTTCTGGAAAGAAAGGGGTATTATTACTCCTAAATTTCTTATTGGAGAGCAATTCATAAATAGGGGATTCCAATTTCCCAATCTTCTTGAGCAACAAGGTGTTCTTCCTTTTATTGAGATGCAAGGTACATACTATCCAGATTTAGTTCGGGTTTTTTGTTCTTGTTTAAGTATAGAGATCATATCGCTACTTCCAAAGTCAAGGGTGTAACCATCATTCTTGATGATGACATTTGAGAAAATGTTGCTCATTTTCCTATAAGAGATGATGTTGTAAATGTCCTTGCTGATTTGGAGGATTTTAATCGTATTCTGGCATATCGTTCCTTTCTTCGCAATCCTGCCATGAAAATTGGTAGACAACTTTTGGTTGGTCCTTTGAAGAAAGAAGAACGTATGTTACTACATCTTCTTGTATGGATTCTATGTCCTCGAGCCACCAAACATGCACAATGTTCTTCCGCTGACCTTCGCATCATCCATGCTATCATGAACAACGAGCCAATTGATTGGCCCAACCTTGTCACTTTGACCATTCTCAAAGCGAAGCGTCACCCGACCTTCAAGATTTCTTATGCTCTTCTTATCTCGAGGATTCTTGAATACAAAGGTGTAAATGTTGAAGGGGAACATCGGGTTTGGACATTAAATTCTAACAGAATGCTTGACATCACACTTACTCAGTTGTAGATGGTGAATGTAAATGGAGTTTACGTTCATAGAGATGATGTTCCTCACATGGCTGACGTTGCTCAAGATTCTGATGATGAGGACATGCCTGTTG